TTCTCAAAAGTTTGAGAAAGATAATCACTTTATCTTTAAGATATAGTATCAAGGACCCTCAAAACAATACATTTCTGTCAAAATATTGGCACTTTTTCCTGCAGCATTACTTACGCTTCTCTATGCAGAGTAAGTAAAAAGTATTGCATCCAAAGGAAAGTTAAATTATCTTCCTATTGTTAATTGTTTATACATATGTGTCTTTATGTATCCTTAGAAAAACATACAAATTGTAGGTAATCCACGTTTCTGCCCAATTTAGAGTAAATTTTAGATACAATTTTTTTTAAAGATTCTTCCCCAAATATTATTTTAGTGTGTTTGCGTTAAGTTGAACTTCTGCAACAGACTCTTGATATTTGGTGCAAGTGCAATGGTTCTTTCACCACTGCAATAGGCATCTCAATAGCAAGTAAGAAGTCGTAACAAGTTTAGAAAACATGGTTGGTTAATTCATAGATTGAAATTCTGTAGTATTTTCCTAACCTTCAGTCACTTCCAATCCCTGGTATTTTCCTAGCAACATGTAACTAGTTTTCATAATCTCATTTCTTGTGATTACATAATTTATTCCAATTCTTAGTGGCTAAAAAAAAGAACAAAACAAGTCAAGAGTAGATTCTCCAAATCATACACCTGTGTATTATTACACTCAATCATAGAAGTGAAATTTCACTCATCTATAAAGTACTGCTACATATTTGGCATAAACAAATTAAAGATTGGGGTTTATTTATGAGTGGGTTTATATTATGTAGCCACTTACATGGGAGTATTCTAAATCTTTCATACTTCATAGAATTTAAAACAAAATGAACTCTCAGAAAAAGCTTGCTTGAGGCTAAGGCTTCATTTCCAGTTTCTAAAAGACGTGCCAATTAGGTCCCACAGAAGGCAACGGCAAATAAAACTATGAACACTATCTATTGATTTACCATGGCAAAGCAATACAACAGTAGGATTTCCCTGACAATTATATTGATTAAAATAACAATTCTCTTATTTTAACAAAATACTATACATTCCCTGAATTTTCCTGACTTTTGACCATCCTGAATGATGTTTTGGCACTTAACATCTTTTAAAAAAAAATATGTTTCAAATAAAATTAATTTAATTGGTTGCAATGTTTATATAAGCAACCGAGAATATGCTCCAGACTTAAAATTTTCTATATTTGTTGCCCTCTTCTACTGAAATTATAAATAAAATTGTTTTAAAAAGTCGTTCAAATCTACATTAAAAAATTAGAAAAATGAACAAGAAAATGCAATGCTACATAAGAAAATATAATTGCTTTTCTGAATGTCAATTACAATCTTCACAAATGGATACTAAATTTTAATCCACATTCATAAAACTCATTTCCACACATCTACATCACAATTTCCTGCATCCCCAAGAATGTATCATACTTACATGCATCAGTCAAAATTTTGCGCAACTGAATATAGAAATTTGGGGGTTTTGAATATTACTATTTTTAACGTTATGCGGCCAAAAAATAATTTTCTTTCAGAACATCATAAGCAATAAAAAATTAAGTAGTAGTACTACAGATATACAGGCTATCTCAATTTAGTAAGGGTTAGCTTTTTGGTTTTGCATCACCTTCTTCCCAGGTGCCATCTATTGCTACCCAAACAAAACTTTTTTCACATTATCTCAATTTTTCAATCCCCTAATGAATTTATGTATTGATGACTAGATGAGTAAACCCTCATTCCACATGAAAATTTTTGTTGAAATATTTGGAGCCCTTTTTTTCAGAAAACTTTTGATTTTTGGGGAAACTTCATTGAAAATTATTTGAAGTACTTTGACTTAGAAATGCAATAATATATACAAATTGCTGATAATATAAATATTAATGATGAAAGAGATTTTTAAAAATAAGAAAAATTGAATAATTTTTGAAAAAACAAAAGAATACATCAAATAGCATTGTTGTTGTGTTGTTTAATTCATTTACCATTCCCTGTTACAAAAAGTTTTGAAAGAGGAAAATCGGAGGAGTTTTTGAGGAAATGGTGTTCGGGCATTTCTAAAAATGTGAAATTTTGAGCCATTTTCACAGAAAACTTTTGCGTTTTCAAGAAACTTCATAGCACATCATTTGAAACATATGTACTCATAAACGCAATAATGTGAACAAATCTCTACTAAGGTAAATATTAATGACACGAGGGAAATCAAAATAATTAGAAGTATATATTTAAAAACCAAAAGAAAGGAAGAAATTTGTTTATGTCATCTGTCACAGTTTGACACTAACCCCACCAAAAAAGTTTAAAGAACAAAATTGAAGCTATTTGTGAGAAATTCTCATTTCCGATATTTTTTAACATTGCTTATATTTCACGACCTATGACACAAAATCTACAAAAATTTTCCAAACCATGAGCATAACATTAATGAAAGAACTAATTATGGACAATAAATAACATTTGATGGAAAAATCTTTTATCTTCAATTTAGTGGATGTAAGACAATGCCGAAAAACTTTACAACTTTTGAAATTTAGTGATAACAGTGAAAATCTGACCTATGCCACCTCCAGAAGTGTATTTCACTCTATTCTTACAAAAGATTTTAAGAAAAAAAATTGAGCTATTTTTGAGAAAATTTGAGTGTCCTAGGCGCTTATGTAAAATTAAAGAATGTTATTCAAAATCGCAGAGCTTCATGCGAAGCCAGATTGACCAGGGTTATTCAGTTTGCAAAAAAATCCTACGAATTGTTTAGGTGCTGGTGTTGTTCAAACACAGCAGACAGAGGGACAGATAGTTGAAAGTTTTGAGGAAATAAAAAGAAATTAAAAAAAAGAAAAAGTTTCAGTATCAAGGACTTTCTATTCGTGAAATCTGACTACATACAGAGTTAGAGGGAGTATTTTACTACTTATTGGAATAGGATTTATCCACTTTTTCTGTATCAAGATGCCACAACGCGAGTTTTTCTGTTGAAAAATCTCAGCTTTTTGCCAAACATTACGTAACTTTCTCTACACTACGTATATTACTCTGTATAAATGTACATACACGAGAAAGTAAAAACCAGGACACAGTAAAACATAGTGCTACTGGATCAACAACTGATGGTGCAATTTACTAATTTTCACCTAGTGCAGTTTGGTTTTGCAGTTTGGGTGACTGCAAGGGCAGTAATCTGCAATGCCTACTAGGAATGTGCAATGTTGGTGATTCGAGAAAAGCTACAGTTCAATTGTAAAGGCACTGTCAGGTTCAACTAAATCCACTATCATACAGTAAAACAAATCAACAATACTGATTTATTACAAAGAACATATAACAATGTACAAAATTGTTTTCTCAAAATAAGTAAATGAGGAATGGATATAAAATATAATAAAAGTATGACTAACAGGAGAGGACAACCCTACAGAGATATAACCATGAGATGCCACTATAGGCACACACATACATACAATTTCTCTGGGAACACAGTGGACCTAACCTTTAACACACACGCTGTCGGATACCATGAGAATGCAATGACTGAATAACTACAACATATATCAGAAACAACTAAATTTGATTCCTTCATAAGATGCAGCAACCGGTGGCAACAATCTCAAATTGCAAAATATTTCCCCTGGTCCCTTCAGGATTCCCCTAATATCACATTACAGTCGGTTAAAGTAGGGTGCATGGTACACACTTAGAGAAGAGTAGTGGCGAGAAGGGGAGTGTGGAGAGAGAGGAAGGGGGAGGAGGGGGAAAGGGGTCTCTGCTTGCCCTCCCTCAAATTACCCTAAGCACTCTCCAAGAAATGACTGAACTAACCGACAGGTGATTTTATGGCGGTTTGACTGATGATTTTATAACCCAATGATAAGTCAATACTAATACCTGAATTATACACAACTTGCGCCCTGCAAACCATGGCCCCTTCCACACGGAAGACTTACACAAGTGAGAAGTGGCCCTTTTCTTGCTACACTTCCACTCAAAACCATCACACAACTATCGCTTGGCCAACCTCATGGGTCACTTACACACAGCACACTTAAATCCTGCAACAATCAAACTTCGTTCTCACGCCCATTCAATAACAACCAAACACCACCTTTGGCGCAATACGCAAAAAAACCCACATTTATTCTCACAATCATAGCACAGACACTCGACACTCAAAAACACAAATCGCAAAGAATCTGAAGAACACAAGAAACTCAACTGTTCGACAGCTACCCAGACACAGAAAATCATGTAGACAAAAACACGATTTACATGCCACCACACACATTTCGTAATGAAGTTTCCATAAGATATTAGGGTGAAATTTCCCCCTTCCCCTAACTTTTGATGTCACGTTCATAACCAATTGCAAACCATTAAAATTATTTCAGAAGTGTTTTTTTTTTTTTACAATTTATATAAATAGCCCACGCATTTGGCTCATGCGTGCGTGCTGCAGCCTTGCAGGCAAAACCACCCACGCTTTGCTTTTAATATGTATGTACTATGTTACACATATTGCTCACCACCCCTCCCCACCAAAAGGTTCCCCTCATAACACCCATCGGCCCCGCCACCATGGATTCCTCCCTCGCCGGAGAGGGGCAAACTGTCGGTTTAAACGATTTCAAGTTGTACCGTATACTAGACTTCAACCTTACAGTCTTCTAGATGAACTCAAGTTAGAATCTGTGAAAATCGGTTTCTGTTACCAAAGGAACATTTGAAAAGGAAAAAACTTAAATTTAATATAAAAGAATCCAAATTGTGTTCTACTATTCGTTTCAATGAATGTTAATATGGAAGTCTGATTTTGTCCAGTCGCAAATGACAAGTTACCCCTAATATGCATTATTACTTTATTAGCACTTAAACCTCTGGAATAATCAGCGCATTTAAACTGCATGGATTTCCTACATATTTCAGTCTAACTCTTCATCTATAACAAGAAAAATGAATAAGAGAAAGAATAGATATGGCAGACAAAGGATGCTGCACTGAGGCAGTTGGAGGGAGTACCTGAGGCCCCGAATGGCTTCCTTGTGTGCCTGGAACATCTTCACGTTATTCATGTTGCTTTGCCAGTACTTGACGTAGCCTGCATGATCACCTGTCACCATCCACACGTCATTATGAGACCAAACCATTGTCCTGACAGGGCTGTCATGAGCCTGAAGCAAACAAATTACAATTTTGTTACACAAGAATAAATATCTCAATATACCGTTTCCAATGACACATTCCTAGCCTATCAAGCAGCAACTTTGAGCAATAAAATGAAATAAAGACTGCATGAGAGGGAAAAAGAGCAGGGAAGAGGGAGAAACACACTGTGTAATACGAATCACTACCCATACAAAATTATGAGAACGGGGTCATGTCCTTATTGGCATCAAGTTTTTAACACCTTTCTCATGAATATACCATCTAACACAACACATTTTTCAATACAAATTTTCAATCAATCAATATTTTATAGTTTGGGTACAGTAAATAACAAGCAAATTTCTAAGGGTAAATAGCACTCTCACCTGTAGAATTGTTTCAAAGTTGAAAGTTAAACCATTCCATAATGTAAATTCACCACTTGAAGCACCTGTAACAAGGCGTCGCCCTTCAGGTGTCCATGCCATACAGAAAATAGGACACCTCATCTTATTAGTAGCAGTCTTCACAAAACGAGTCGTTACTGAATTGATAGGATTGTCTTCATAGCTTGGTGGAGGCATGAGATCAGGATAGTACAAAACATCAGGCTGGAGTGCACGTCTGTCCCTGAAGTCCCTTTGCCATACACGACACTGCAAATATCAATTGTTTTAACTCGCAAACATTTCATTTATTAACTTTCCTCATATTTTCAAACCGAAATCATTATATCCAGCACCCGTAGAACACAACAAAAAGCAATTCATGCTGATCATGAATGAAATCACAAAGCGACTATTACGAATGTGTTCTCACGGAAAGAATATCCCCCTCTCAAGAATCTACATTATATATTTATTGGATAGATACTGGGACCACTCACCTCCAACATCTTAATAATTGCAGAATTGTAGTCAACAGTTTTTCTCATAACAGATTTCCTTAACCGCTTTCCATCAAATTCACTATCGGGTCCTCCTGGCCCCGGACGAGGGTAAGGACGGAAAGGTTGGAAATAATGTCCCCTATGCCCACCACGATCGGCGTGGAATCTATGTTGTTGAAAGTGATGAGGAGCCATAGGCGGTGGGACACTAAGGTTAGGTATAGCCGGGGGAGGCTGATTGAACTGAACGCCTTGCAACATGATGAAAGTTTTAGATTTAAGAATTTAAGCAACAGAGGACCCTGGGAAGGAAATATAATGAACTATAATTGATATAACATCGTAGGCGTCATCACGTTTACAGCCACCATTCCGCCACGACAGACTGTTTGCTTTGGTGTTTCTTTACATCCAATTATGTTCTTTTAAACAGAATATATACATAATAAATGTATTTCTATGAAGACGACTGAATATTCGGGAACCAACCATTACGCATAAAATGTTCAAAAATATGGAGACGCTAGCAATTCCAACACATGTTTAATACTTATTGCGATCATGATGCGATGAAAATCGGTAATGAGGAATTTTCTTTATTTAACTCCAGCTCAAAACCTCTTTCCGCCATTCTACAATATGCATCCGTATATTGCACAAAGCAATAATACAGACACTCCGAAATTACAACTGCAAATACCACAAGCCACTGGGTCACTTATATCGTTCTCCGTCAATTCTCCGTGTTCCTTTCGGCAACGTCAACGCAGAGAGTATCAGAGAGTTTATGCGCGTACACGCATGCGCATCCAGCACTCAGGATCGAGAAGAAATTAAGTAAGACAAAGAGTAAATAATATGCAGCAAAAAGCAATTCCAATTATGTCGTTACTTGCTCATGTTAGCCAGAAGTTCCAAACATTAAATTATTTATTATGATTGCCACAAATTAAATGCCAAAAATATTATAATCGAATTGATAAAGCTGCCATAGCTAAAATAGCAACGTTGCCACTTCAAACAAGTGTAGTTGATCCGCTTGAAATTGACACTAACGTACTTTACCCGTACGGAGCGCTAAGATCGACCAAAATAATATTAGTTTTTCTACGTTCTGTTTTGTTTGCATTTCTTTCTGATAAGTGTATCTTAATTTAAGTCATTTCGTTAAAATGATCAAAAATTATTTTATAAAGGATATTTCCATGGAACAAGACCTATTCTTCCATGTTATTTCCTTATATTTTGCATCTAGAATTTTTAATCTAGCCGGTGGGTGGACTTCAATTTTGTTGCATATGACATTAATGAAATAAAGTAGCCCTGTAGTCGTACGTAATACTTCTGTAAATGTGACCATCTCTTGATTATCCCCCTTTTCAAGCTCACAATTTGGGGAGGTAGCTCTCCAATTATATTTATTAATTGATGCATAAAATTAGATCATCATCGTAGTAAAGTATTGTATTTTTATTTAATTGCTTGTAAAAAAATAAATTTGTAAATAAAAAATATTACAAAAGGGGGCTTTGTGGGGGACAGAAGGTTCCAGAAATGTAGTTGGACCCTATAGTTTTAGGCTGCACACGTATATGAATATAGCCATATCACCGGTTGCCAGATAATCACCCCATTGAAAGGATCCCTTCGAACCCGTACGTTTGTTCCAGACAGCTGCAAATTTTACGCAACAAACACAACTGTGAAAAATTTTAATATAATACTTATGCAGGTGACCATCAGTAAAATCTGAGATTACCTAACACCGTGACGAAGGCGGGCCAACAGAATTTCGAAAGTGACGTGCATTCATCCCCTGCAAATCCTAGAAGTGCTGGGGTAAGCAAAAATTATAATTTTGACAATTAAAATTACAAAGAACCGTATGTAACATGATCAACTAGGGGTGCTACAGAATGGAAAAGATTTTTCCGTATCAGTTTTCTATTTTTATTGGTCTCGGTTAGCTATTCGGACTTGCCACGTAATATTGCCAGCAGCTAACTATCGTCGCACAAAGTACATTTTTTTCAAAAAGTTTCTTAATTTTTCGGCTTCCTAATACTAGAACGGGAATATTATTTTAAGAATATTAAAAACAATAAAACCTTATCCTAAATGGCAATATTCTTTGAAAAAACTTGGAGCCGAAAGCGCTACTTCATATTCGAAAATTAAATCTCTTTTCACAGAAAACTATTAAGTTTTTGAAAAAACTCATTTGAGAAATTTCAAGTACTTCCAGTCACAAATGTAATAGTGTTTTCAAATCGCTGGAAATATGCATATTAAAGGCGTGAGAGATCTTTAAAAAAAATTACGTTTGTGTAATTTTTGAAAAATCAAATGTATACAGCAAAATTAATTCTGTCATCTTAAATTGTGCAATTACCACTCTGTTAGAAAAGTTCGAAGAAAAATTTTGACCTGTTTTTGACAACACGGAGTTTGAGCGTCCCTAAAAATACGGAATTTTGAGCTCATTTTCGTTAAAAACATTTGATTTTTCAGAAAACTTTATCCATTATTTAAAGTACATGTTCTCATAAATACATTAATGTAAAGGAATTGTCACTAATGTAAATATTAACGACGCGAGAGACAAGTTAAAAAATAAATTTTTGTATTTTTTGACAAAACAAATAAAGAGCAATATGGCATTTATGTCTTAACATAGAGTGCATTTAGCACAATCCCTACCAAAAGTTAAAAAAAACATTAAGAGACGTTTATTAGAAATCTTGTTTTTGTATTTTTTCAATTGCACATGTTGCTCATAATATTGTTAACTATTAAGAAAACTATTAAAATTTTCAAAAAATGTATACGGCCTTAATTAAAGAACTCACTATGGAGAAAAATATTTATTTGAAGGGGAAAATCTCTATCTTCAATTTAGTTGTAAGAACACGCCCGAAAATGTTTTAAATTTTTAAATTTTCGAAAATGCAGAGTTAAACCTGCCAATTGGACATATTCCACCTTTATAAGTGCATTTTACTCGACTCTAACAAGAAATTTTAAGAAAAAATTCGAGCCATTTTTGAGTAAATTTTGAAAATGTCCGGAGGACTTTATATGAAGTACCCCAAAATTTTAAAGATTTTCTTCAGATGGCCAGATGGACAGGGGTTTCTGCAATTTGTAAAAACGGAAGGGTTAAGCGGTATTGTGTTTGCAGACACCAGGAGGACGGTCGGCCGGATGGATGGATGCCATTGTGAGGGTTCTGGTTTCTCTAAACGCGGGATTTCGGATCTTTTATTGGAGGAGGCAAATTTGGGCGCTGTTATAAACGTGAAAATATTCGTGCCTAATAATGATTTCAGTTAATTATGCTGTTATTATATACATTGTTCTCAATGATGTTAATTATTTAATTTATTATTAGTGAATGTTATTCATTATATTAGTTTATCACTGAGGTGATCCTCACTGTTATTTGAACATAGTCCGATGTCAATTCAATTTATAGTTAGATGTTTCCGGGTTTGTAGGCCGTAGTCTAACGGAGACTGGTCCATACGTTTCGCCTGCAACTGTGGGAGGGAGGCATCGTCAGTGGCGTTGCTGGCGGGAGCGAAGTGTTTTTCTTGGCAGCACCGCGTGGACTGACGCTGTCAGACAGCCCTCTTTGTACAGTTTTTTGAGCACACGGAAAGATCAATGCAAGTTTACGGCACTGCTGTGCGACCGTTCCTACGCTTACGGGCATCTATGGCTAATAGTGATGCTCCCCAGGTTCCAGGTCCCGTATTTATGGTGACGGACGAGGTTGGCGCCTGATTGGGTCGCGTGAGCGGCGATCGCGCATGATTGGTCCACGTCAGCGATACTGGTTGGCTGCCGAATTTTGGTGTTACGGAGTGCTGGTATCCTGTACTGTATCATGTACATCTCGATGGCTTCCATTTAGAGTCCCGTGAATTAGTATGTGGTAATGGAGAGAATATCCGTCGCTTCAAAGCGCATGTCGTGTTTGCGTCCCGACAGCGCGAGATCGACCACTGCTGATTTATCTGTATATCCTAGACGTCAATTCCTTCTATGTTCTTTTACACGAGTAATGAAACTTCTCCATGTAGTACCCATGTATACAGATCCGCAAAAGCAAGGTATTCTGTACACTTTGGCTAGAGACATATGGTTCTGGGGAAGTAGTGTACAGAATTCCTTACCCTTGCGATTCCGAATACGGCAGTTATTATCAAAGTTCATGTGTTACAATGGACGATTACGCAGCATGAAAGTTCTCAGCATTAACCACCTGTGTCTGATGAGGAAATAATTTGTATTTTAATTCGTCACTTCCCGTTAAGCATTCAAATTTTGTTGACGAACGTCAATGTAATAACGGTAGAACGCTTCGAAATGTTTCTAGGCAATTACGACCTCCAATTTGATAATGTAAATAAAAGTTCGAAGACCGCAGGCACAAATGTAAATGCAAGACCAGTTACGGAAAACAGTAGCAAGACAACAGGAAAGGGAAATGAACGCCCGCAGGAAGAAAACAGATCAGCAGAGAATAACCACGGCAGGGAGAACGACTGCAGGGTAACGGTCGCGAGGACGGCAGACCACCTGACAATCGGCAGCGCAGAGGCGATAGTGTTTGAGAAACAAAAAGAACCAGTAAGACGGTATTAGTTTCGAATCGAACAGACAGACACCACGCCACTCAAAAACAAAAATTATCCTATCCCCATTGCATATAAAGACCACGTAAAGGTATTGATTTAGCACATGATACAAGACCAAAAAGCATCCACCGCTTACACCAATCCAATCTTATTAGTTAAGAAGAAAGATGGAAGAATCCGCTTGTGTTTAATACTCGTAATCGCCAAGCGCGATATCAACCTGCCTCCTCCACCAGCTCTAGAGATCTCAAGGGGTGAGTCACAGTGGGTCGGGATGCAAATGGGCCTAACTTATTAATTAAAACACTTTCAATTGATGGTTTAAGTGTTGCCCGTCAAGATAGCGGACACACATTTATTCAAATTTACACTATTCTATTACATGGACATGTAACATTTTCTCTACTGCGGACCCCTCCCAGTGCGTCACCGCCCTATGCTGACACACAGTTGCGTCGTCGATGGTGTAACGGTTAGCGTACCGGACTGTTGTACCCACGTTCGCGGGTTCAAACCCTATCGAAGCCGTCGATTTTAAAAGGACGAAAAAATCCTACGTACGGCTTCCTTCGGAGGGGAAGTAAAGCCGGCTGTTCCATGTTAGTAGATTTACTTGCATGTAAAAGATCTTCAAGCCTAAATAACGCTTCTGAGTTAAATTCAAAACGACTGTTTCTCGCCCCTAGAAATACCTCCTTTCTCTGCTAGTTGATGACAGGAGGGTAGCGAAGTTTGCGTGGTCAGACGGAAGAGCGGGCCTGATGGCCCGAGTCTCGCCACGTAAAATAAGGCCAATTCAATTCAATTCACAGTGGCGGCCAGCGACCGCATTTTCCTGCTTCCGAAGGGTGCGCACTGGTGGAGCATCGGTGGCCACAAGACAAACACGCGTCCTTCTTGATTCGGACCTTGGGCCGATACTGGCAAAGTTAGAAACACATATTTTTGTGATTTGTTTTTAAATTGTTTTCATTTTAAAATATGTTTATGCTTTTGAAATGAGAGACTTTTTTCGTGATATTCATTTTAAAACAGTGTAACACGAGGATCACATTTTTAATTCTTGGCATGAGTAAACACTACTTCTTCATCCTCCCCTAGATTTATCCTTTAACGACTTTTCGCTCTCTTCATCCTCGCTGAATTCTCTATACGCACGACTTTCTTCCATTTTATCGTATTTAAAACTTCCTTGAATACCCTATGTCGCAATTAACTCTCCAAAATACAGAACAATACAATACACTCAATACAATACTTTGCTGAAAAGAGATAGACGCAAATGGCATTGACACAGAAAATCGTATTGCTTAATTTCTTGACTTGAGTCCCTTTGCTTATTCGATAATCATCAGTCACTGTCCCAAGACGTTGGGCGTCACCCAATCTAACACCCACACTTAGCTAATTGGCTCACACAGGCACCTAAGTTAAGACGTAGACGGATGCGCGAAAACGAGCTTGATTTCATCTCGGGGTGGCAGGATCTTTGGCTGTGAGAAAGAAGACCTAAGACGTAGAAATAAAAGAACTTCGTGCGTAAATTCGGCCAGAAATGAATACACACATAAAAATAAATAAAAATATGTCACAAACAAAAAACGACACTCAAATTCCTAAGTTCGATCCCCAAACATCAATCTAAAATTCACAAGTCAAATTACCTATCTTACAACATTCTAAAATTCTTTGAGATTAATTTGATTGAACTGAATTTAAATCTTTGAACAAATATCACCGTGCACGATTCGTACCTGAGTAAAAGAAATCATATAAACGTTTGTTCTCATTAAAATTGTGACATCGTAAAACCCATAGTTAAAATTCTTAATCCAATACTCACTGATTTTAACAAATAAGCTGTTAACACAAACTTACTCACCTTTGCAAATAAATGGCTTACCAAAATATAATGAAAGTACAAAATCAATTTCTAGCGGCTTTCCGCCTGGCGCTGAAAACGCGCTTCAAAATCTCCGTTGTAATAGACTTCCCTTCATCTTAGCTTCTCCTGCTCGTCCTGGCCCTCACCGAACATTGGTGCTCGCTCGCTGGTGACCTTGTAGTCACGTACTGGGGTTGCGCCACCACCGCCGTTTCCGGGCGCTCTGCTAGATGTCATTTCCTCGCGTTCTCCGTCGACCCAAATCTTGTCCGGAATTCTAACATGCAATTCCTTCTCGCGTTCGTCCTCTTATTTGGCCTCAGGAAACTATGGATCATTATGGAATAAATATATTATACGGTCTAGAAGGCATTCACTGATCTCTTTTGTTCAATCTGTTTCTCCTTTAATTCTTTCTCTCGACCTTGGTCTACTGAAACATTGGCATCAGCCCGTGTCGCTATCTAATGCTAACCGGCGGTCGCGCGCTCGTAGCGTCGCCTGCCTCTCAAGTCCCGTTAACGTGTTTTCTGTACCTTGCTGCTTGCTCGCACGTCGTCGGCCGGCTTCGCCTACTTCCGCTCGGGACGTCCGCGCTGTAGGCTCACGACCTTGGCCTACTTTGGTCGTGCTGTCGCCTCGCTCCTCTTCAAACCGGCCGTCTGCTATGCCGATCGAAGCGCTGTGCTTCAGAATTATTTCTGGACACGCCCAGCACCAGAACAGAATACTGGTCACTTCTTTCTTCCTCCTCTTCTTCTCGTGTAGCACGCCGACGAGTATTACCCAGTTTTTACGCGTGTATGATAAGCGGTTCTTTGTTTTTGTCCCTCTCCACAATTCACTCTCCCTGGTGCAGCCAATTTCAATAGTTCTCCTACAGTCTCACAATAAATTCACTTTAGGGCCACTAATTCGCCTCGTACTCGTTTACGTATGTACTCTCCACAGTTTATGAATCACCTTCATATTCACGGTTGTAATATGTAGATTTTTATCCCTTTTCTAACTACTCTCATCACAATCACATACTTGCCAAGATGGCGTCTTCCAATCACATACTTGCCAAGATGGCGTCTATCACTCCTACTCCACGCACCGGGAACCACACAACCGACCTGGTCGACTACTTTTTCAAGAAGGAGCTGTCAGCTGTCCGGCTTCTCCTTGTAGGGGTAACCGCGTCACAACCCCTACCGAATGTTCTCTCGCGCTGGCCATTAATTGTAAGTCTGGCGGCTGAGCTCCGGACAGCAGATACTAGGCCGCGCTTTTCCGCTCTGACCACAGCGATGAGCATACGTTATGGGAACGTGTCTAGGCGTCGCCAAAGCTTTGGCGTGGGCGGCTGGGTAGTTTAGACCATGTACGAAGCGCACTATATATATATATTATTATATATATTATATATATATCTATATATATATATATTATAATATTATATATATATCTATCAGCGCGACAGGTTTGGGCCTAGTGCCCGTTTGCTCTAAGAGTGTCTTTCCATCTTGTGTGGAGTCTGGCCTCCTTGGATCGTTTCCCCTTGGTGTTCTAATTCGAGGATAGTTTGGGAAGCTGTTTTGTGTGCCATTCTGGTTAGGTGTTCGAATCAATTCTTCCTCGTTGAGTCGATCTTGTCCGTATGCTGGAGATCTGTAGTTCACCTCTGATGTCTTCATTTCTCTATGATCTAGTTAGTGTATATCTGTAAATGTCGGGAATCTCATTTCTATTTATTGCATTTAATATATATATATATATATATATTATTTAATGGGACAAGCATATTAATAAATTAGTGGTACTACAGAATGGCACACACTTTCCCGTATTAGTTTTAATTTTTACAATGTTTTCAACTTTTAAAGACTGTTTTTCAAAATATCTAAGTTTCGACTCGAGCCAGATGGGTTTCTTCAATTTCGAAAAAAAATCCTACGAATGGTTTAGTCACGTGAGTGTCAAATTGTCTTGTTATTTGAATGTTCGAGAAAGTCTATCGAACAATTATTCACTATTGGTTAAAGATTGTTTCTTTTCACTCGTTTGAAGGGAAGTCTTTAGGGTACCAGATGCGCATACTACTATACATTAATTTTGTGTCCTATGGGACAAGAAGGGCATAATATAAGGGAATAATTTTGTGTCCTAAGGGAATAGAAGGGTACGAAACTTCGCACTTGCAATATTTCGTTGGTCCACTGTGAAACAAATATCTGTCGCTTTGACGTGGGTTAGCTAACGCGCTCTCACAATGCGTGTTTGCAAGGAGGCTTTGCCGTCCTTTTGGGGTGGGCTGGTGGTCTGAGACGGGGGCGAAATTTACGACCCACACACTTAAAAAGATTCGCGGCGAAGGGGGTAGTTGCCCGTGGCTAATACACCCGCTGAGATTTGAATTTCGCTTTCTAGAATTACACACATCACAATTGCCCTACACTACGAGTCTAAAATCTCTTTCATCGTCACCTGAAAGTTGCAAAGTATTTCTAAGGTATCGCTAAGACTTATTTTGTCGTGTTCATTAAAGCTATAGTAATCTTTAAGAAAAACTCCTTAGTTTGTTATTAATTTTTTGATTTTGCTAATATTCTTTAAATAGTCTAGAAGCTTAATATGGAGCTTATATTATCCGAGGAACATTATTTTTTGGGAAAATCGTATGAATTTGTGTGATGTGTAGCATGTTTATGTGGTTATTCTTCGATGGTAAGCCAGGCAGAAGTTACGGGATAAACAACACTTTTCGGTATGATTCCCCATAAAAACGTGCATTGACATTAAAATATCGTTATCAATTACTAACAGTATAACATATTCTAATAGTATTAACATGGATGAATATTCGTCCAATATTATCATTAATTCGTATTAGAATATTAACTTATATTTTTAATACGAAGTTTGGAGAACTGGGTTTAGCTACGTGTTCATTGTGTTGGTAGACCTGTAAGTATGATTGTGTTAGATGGCGGTGAACATTTCGAGTAAAATTAAAATACGTTACAGATCTTTGGTCATTGGATTTTTTTTTCTGACTGAATGATCTTATGAAATATATTTTAGTGATATACTGAAGGTCTTGTCTACGTTTCCAGAATGTTTTTGCTGCATTCATGTTAAAGTTTATCTGAAACTGATGTGTTATTTGTATCCAGATCGAGGCAATTTCTTTTTATTTATTGGATGTTCCAGACGTTGATTAATTATGTGAATCTCCACGAAAGCTGACAGCTCCTTACTGACAGAAATTCTTTACCTATTTTGTCATGTGAATCTAATTTTATCACAATATTCTTGAACGCATAATGGATTCCATGGTGTTGTGTCAAACGCCTCAAAGTCAGTTGACTTTAAGTGCTGAGCTGAGGAAGGTTATTCACGAACGAAATATTCTTACTACAAGAACAAGGATGAAAGGTAAATATATTAAGATAAAATGAATCTGTATAGTTTTCATTAGTTGTATCCTAATGCCTATTTTCCTTGCAGTTTTATCAGAGTTGGACGGCATTACCAGACATTCTAATGAAGAGAGTCAAATGAGTCGACGCGATAAAACTATTCAAGAAATACTTACTTCTGAAGTCAGTTATTTGCATCAGCTAGAGCTCCTGACACAGGTATCACATGTGTTTATTAAACAATCGTGAAGTTCCAAGTATCATTCATAATAGTGTATGCTGCTCATACACATTATTAGTTGAGAACTTAATTTTGATGCCCATTTCATAACATATCTTCAGTGTTTCCTATTGCATGAGATTCACTTTCATACTCATCCTATCAATTCCATATGTTAAGAGTGGGCTGTGTCTTTAGCTACGAAACTGTTTTGAACAATACTCTACGTAAATGTTTCCTGCTTTCCAATGGGTAGTAATTGTTTAGAGAATATTTAAATAATTTTAATTTAGTGTTCAAATTTCTGTAAATGTTAGATTTGGCCCAATTCGGGTAAATTTTACTTTTCAATATTTTGTACACAGTGTGCTGCATTATAGCCTCAAGATCAAGCATATCTAATTGAACTGAACACTTTTTGGAAATTTTAGTTATTCATGCCCGTTTTTTCTTGAAAATAATCTAGTCATCATTTTTAACATCCTATAATTTGAAATGAATTATGCCTTTTTTGATCTTATTGTCAAATGTTTTCTTATTTTGTTCTAGTATTTTATGGAGCCACTGAAGGCAATGCCTTGTATTTCTTCAGTTGAATACATGACTCTTTTTGGCCATTTGGACACCATATATAAAGTGAATGGAGAACTTTTAAATGAAATGAAAAAGACCCCAAATAATATTGGTGAAGTGTTTATAAAACTTGCTCCATTCTTCAAATTATATTCTGTTTATGCCTATGACTATAAGAATGTTTTAAAACTTTTACAGGTATGATGATAGTAATTTATTATCAGATTATTACATTAGTTTAAAGTGGCATGGGCATTTTGTTAAAAAATGTCATGTGCTATTCGAATTTCCTCATGAAAGCTGCTTGTGACATGACAGTACAGTTGTACTTCACATTTCGCTATCATTAAATTTATAGCTTTGGACTTAAATGGGAAGTGGGAAGTATTTTGTTCAGGGGTGAAATATAGTCCACTCACTAATCCACTTAAGTGAATGTGTTTCCATTCATTTTCTGGACTATTCATTGTTGCAAGATAATGTTTCTTAAACAGATTTTTATATTTGGTCAGTTCCCCTGCTTTATTTTATGTATCAAACAAACTTTTTAAAATTCTGGATTTTTCAACTGGGTGCTACTTCCCCATTTTCAATTCAAACATCAAATAAATTGAATTTTGTTTCTTTACACCCGAAAAATTAAAGTTTCATTTATTTCATGAAGTGAGGTTAAACTAATTTACATCAATACAAGTTGATTGCGTGTAAATATTATTTAATAAAATTAAATAACTTGGATAGTCAGAATTAGCTTAAATAACACACACTGCAAAAGGGATTTCTGGAAAAAAAACTCAAATTTTCCCTTTCCCTTGGATACTTGTTTGGATCTGTTCTTGTTACATTACAGGGCACAGAGTGAAAAACGTTGCAAATACATTGTTATCCAAAGTGCTTCTAATACTTGGTAATTACACAGAAAGTAAATCTGTTAGCGGAAACCAATGTAATGGATATTGAGTATTTAACTGCTCATGTTCTGCATCTTAATGCTTTATAATATTATTCATGAAATATAGTAACTGTGACTGTTGGATAAATTTTCTCTGAAGGGTTAAATTTGTGAACATGATTGATTTTGTTTTGTTTCCTTATGCACTTTTTCTTTTAGGATATGCAGAGCAACAACCCACAGCTAAAAGAATTTATACATCAACAAGAAACTCTTCCTGAAGTTGGTACATCATTACCTGCTTTGCTTATTACACCAATTCAACGAGTACCTCGCTATAGATTGTTGTTGCAAGAAGTGCTCTCTCTTACACCTTCTACTCATCCAGATTATTCTGTACTTCAGAGTAAGTCTTTAGAAGAACAAAAACTTGGAAGATGTGTGTAATTGATTATGATAAATCTTTGAATCTTCTTCATTCTCTCCTTTTTTAGGCTGTAGCCTGTCTTTTAAAACAAAGGAAGTATATTTTAAAGGAATTGACATTCCATGTCACCACTTTCATGAGTTCACATTCTTTTGACTACCATGAATTCACAAAGTTTCTTTCCATGTTCTTGGACGATCCAGTCTTCTCCTTCCTTCAGGTCTTGTCTCTTTGCCACTTTCAAAAGTCTATCTTCCTCCATTCTATGTGGTCATTTCATTGTCTTCTTCCACGAATCTAGTCTTATATGATGTCTATTTGGCAAATTTGTCGTATGTTAGTATTGCATTCTTTATTTATTCTATTATTTCCCCAAGTAGTCCCCCCCCCACACACACACACACACAATAAGACAATGATTAATAAAAATATTTGATAGTTACACATGGTATCTATGAAACATCAGCAAGCATGTGATAGAAATTATTTGCTTCACATACGTCCGCTCAACCTTAATATCAAGTACCCGGTTTTGAAGAATAGGGAGGTGGAGTAAGTTTCAGAATTCATGAAGAAGGTCCAGTAGAAACTGAATCGCAATGCATTGCTTTGTAAGAAAGATGATTTCAGTAACAGATATTGCAAACTCTTAACTGAAATGTTCTGTTTTGGCGCACAAATATATTAAAATATTATAAAATAGAAGTTGATAAAATTTGTGAAACAAGTTATTAGATAAAAATATTTACAAATATGTAAAATAACAATGTTTATAATTTATTTAAAATGTCAAATAAGCTTTATAAAATATTACTGAATGCAGGTAACGTGTTCTTGTAAAAATATGTATTTACATGAAAATCCATTCCCTATTAATAACTGATTTACAGACCTTTATACTGATTTGATTTTAAAAATTACAAATATTAAGTTTTATATAAGTATTGTCAATTGTTATTCATGTTAAATTGTATAAAGGAATCAGTGTAAATAGCTAAGTGAATGCATTAATGTAAACTAGCCATTTTTTATCATTCTTCAATTTCAAAAATTATAACATAAGAGACGTAATTTACAGACTAAATATTTCATGAAAGAATTGACTAGACCATCTAAAAGTATAGAAAAATTGCAGTGGCATCTTTTGAATACCAGATTCATTGAAATATGAGTGTGACCAATGAAGGATAAAAGAAAATATCTGTCCATTTTATCTCTGACATTTCTTCACAGCTCCACTTTAATGCTTTAGCCTTGTGCCTTTGGTTTTTCCTTGATCATTTCAATTGATACCTCATAATGCAGCAAAATAACCATGGTAGAAAAATCTATTTGTTACTATTAATTTTCCTTGGGTTCTTGCATTTGTATCATATTAGTTGTTTCCTTCCATTAGTCTGTATAGTGTATAGATTTTTTTCCATTCTTCATTTCTTTTCTTTCAAAGAAACAAAAATAATCTTTTTCGAACCTCCAAATTTGGGGTTTCAATAAATTGAAATCTCATTCTACAATGAGTTATCAATTTTAATTTCTTATCCCGATTCTGGGCATACCACCATACCTTCTTTCAACATTTTGTAATTTGTAAATTAATTTTTATAAAATTCTTCTTTAATTTTTGGAGGTTCTTTAAACAAAGCCTCAACAAAATTGTAAAAATGGTTCCAATTTTCTTCTTTGCTCTTATTTGAACAAAAAAATTAATATCCTTTTATAAAAATAGTGCAGGTTCAATTACCATGAAAATATTTGAATTTTCAAAACCTGCAATAGTGATTAATTTTTTGAACCTCCTCCTACAATACGTTTTTGAAGATGGAGAATTTTTTTGTATAGAAAATCTGTTCATTAAAAGTAGATCTTCAATTAATATCATGTTTAATGTTATAAGATGTGAGTAGTTTTTGCATAATTTTGAGTGAAATTTGATACCTTCAAAAATTACATAAGCAAGATATTCTCCAAAATGGCTCCAAATTTTTTCTTCAACTTTGATTTTCAAATAGATTATTATATACTTAGTAATAAGGCACAAGATCAATTTACTTTGAATACTTTAGAATTTCGAAGTTGTATTGATTTGTCAAATCTGTTATTCACCTGAAATATTGAAGATACATTTTTAGTATAAAGCAACCTAATTCTTTTCTTTCACTTTTCTAAAAATATCATAGTATTTTGTAATAAAGAGTTCTATTGTTTGCAGTTTTCAAATGATGAAGTGTTTGTATGATGGAATGTACAGTACATATTATGCTACTGTTTCCAATAATATAAGAAAGTATGTTCTGTTGTAGTACCACCACATTTGAAATATCTCACTGATAATATATTACAGATATTCTATAATTTAATGCATTTGTGAGAACAATGCCTTAAATGTTCTCTGATTAAGTTTATTTTGAAACTGCAAAGTTTTTCATACTTAAATGAGCTCAAAATTACCATTTTTCAGAAAAAAATCAAATTTCATTTTCTTGAAGTGAGCTCCGAATTTTTCTCAGAAAGTTACCATATAAAAAGAGGTTGTTGCCCTCTGATATTCTATCTCATTTCAGTTAATCTAAAGGGATCAAAAAAAACGTGAAAGTGTGAAAAATTCTATGATTTTTGATCAAGCACAATTTCTTCAATAAACTTAATAAAAATATACAGAAAAGTTTAATATAATTAAGAAATATTAAAGTAAATAAAACTACTCCATTGTAGTAATTGAGGCTGTCTGTATATTTTGAATTCTACATATTTGTACATTAAGTTATTTTTTCTAAAATTATTTATTAATGGAAGAGGTGTTTAAAGCGTTTAAAGACAAATAATCTTTGTTGACGTTGATGGTATGGCAACAAATTGTTTTCAGTGTCATTGATATAAGAAGATTCAATGTTCAATTCATCACATTATAGACTGAACATCCCTCAATACTTACTTCTATTATTTATTTATTTGTTTAGAATTGATTTGAAGGCCCTTTAATTTTTTAGGCACATGTTCATTCACATAATTCATTTTTAGTAAAATCATATAATTTTTAGACCTATGATTCAAAAGTCATTGGCCTTCATCTTCACATGACGGAGCTCAATTCTTTTATGAAACAAATTTTATTTAACATCACCACCATTTTCACCTTTTTAAAGAACCGCATTAACTTTCACTCGTCATTCATGTTAGAGTAATTCATAAATAATAGGTGGCTGTGAATTCTATAGAAAAACATGAGTTGATATTTCATTTTGCATGCATGTATTTTATTCAGATGAATTATAAATTTAAATTATTAATAGACGCAATTTCTCCCAAAGGTAGTATTTAGTGAAAATATAATTTTAATTGTTTTTCATCAGATTTTGAATTACCTTTAAAATAAAAATATATCATGGAATAATCATCATACACGAAAAACAAATTGAAAGGAGGTATGTCATAGATTCATTTAAACAATTTGTCATTTATAGCTTGTAGAATTTTCATTAATATTGTATTCACTTATATTTATTAGACCATGAAGATGAAGGCCAATGACCTTTGAAACTATCTAAAAATTGTATGATTTTAATAAAAATGTATTATGAGAATGAATGTCTGCCTAAAGTCTTTCAATGAGTCTTTCAACTAATTCTAAAGATAAAAATTAAAAAGAAATTTTCAAAAAAGTCAAGAAAGGCAGTTTTATTCTCATTGAATAATTTTAAAGTTTTCTTTCAAAACAATTGTATTATTTTTATTAATTTATGATTTTACATATCTAGATCACATTTACAAATGGTACAGTCGAGTCAACATCGTAGGGCTGAGGATTGGGTTGTATGCAGGTACTAGGCCGTGGATTCATAACTAGCATGAGATG